CTGCGAAGAGCGACTTGAGCCGATTATCGGAGAAGACATTTCGACAGCGGAGGGCTTTTCTCTCGAGACAGTCGCCATACTCCGTCTCGGACATCCCCGAACTCTGTATAAAGTTCGTTATCTCGGCGTAGGCTTCTGCAATGACTTCATTCGTCGCGTATGTCCTGAGGAGGTAATTGACGACCTCCGGATAGGACGACAACACTTCGTCCCTACGGGCGTCGGCTACACCAGACTCCCCCACAATACGGGTCTGCACCTTTGCCAAGGCCGTGCCAGTCATGAAGAACTGGAAGCACCAGAGAGCCGCTCCCTCATGCACGCCGTTCTGATTGCTCGCCGCCGTAAACCTGGAGAGGAAATTTAGCACCGCAATCGGGTCGTCTCCACTGAAGGTTACGCCCTTCATCTGAAGAGCCATCCGCTTCCCGGCCCTCGAAACCGTGCTGGCAACTTTGGCGTTGTATCGTCCCGAACGGTTGTGCAGCCGATACCGGCGGTAATCCATGACCTTTTTAAAGAGGTCGTTTAGGGGGCGAATCCGACGCACATGCCTCACGTCCACTTCGAAATCGTCCCCAGAGGAGTCTGTTTCGTCCCTCGTGACATCACTAGCTTCCGATCCGTCGGTCTCGTATCCCTTGCCCTTGGTCTTTCTCCGGTACTTCTGCGTCGGCAGCACTACGCGACCGGCCCCGAGCGGAAACGCGGGTGGCTGTCCCATCTCTTGGGTTTGAAGTCGGCCATCGCGCTCTTCTCCATCCCACGGGGTCTCACGTCTCATATGAGGGTATTGCGGCCGCGCGTTCCCAAGCATCAGCGACGGCGGTAATACGTCCGTTGCCGCCAACGGCAGTCGCTCTGCCGGCGGCGCTCGAGCGCGCACCTCTGCCCGGGTAACGTCCCCCACGGTTGACGTGATCGTGTCCCAAAAGGGGCCGCGTCCGACTACGTCGTCCACGGCGCTCCTGACGAGGGTCCGGCTGTGATCCTCAACGATCTTTCGGAGCGTGCTTGTCAATTGCGCCTCCACGGCAGCCGGGATTCGCTTGTCCAGCTCGGCCGTCAACCACGTGTTTAGGGCCGCCCTCTGGGTCAGGTCCCCTAGGTCCGGGTGGGCCTCTAAGGCGTCGCCGTGGATCGTCATCCTATTTGGACGTTCGTCGCCAGTTATGGCCGGGGTCGGCTCGCTCTCTCCGCGTTGTCGGCCTTCGAGGGGCTCCTCCGCCGGCGTCGGTGGTAATGCCGCTCTGGTCTGCGATCGCGTCCTTGCGCGGGCCAAGCGCTCCACATGCGCCGCTCGTGCCTCGGCGCTTCTATCGGAGCCCACGTTCTCTGTCGAGCCGTCCGTGCGACTTGGTCCGCCCAGCTGGGACCGATTTACTGACTCGTCGTCCCTTCCGTCTCGGGGGAAGCCCCCCTGCGATCTCGCGTCTTCTCGTCCACTCATCTTGAAACGAGGCGGTGATTCTCGATCCCTTCCAATCGCAGTCGTCCGATTCGGAGATCAATAAAAGAATCCTAGAAATAGATTTCTAGGTCGGGAGACCAGTTGTAATAATATGGATCCTTCCGGTTCGATTTTTACCCCGTCACGGAGGGGGTGTCCACGGCAGCGGTAAAATTACAACACTACCAACCTCTCTTTGAGGGCGGCGGTTATGACTCCGGTAAACGGACGAGTGGAGTTGCGGCCCCGGAGGGGATAGGGCTCAATAGGCATACGCTTCCACCAGGCCGTAGAACGACCAAACTGGGGAGCGTGTGCTTCCGGCCCTCAAGAATAACCCGTACGGGACGATCTGCCTCTTTCTCCTCAGTTCTCGCCCAGGGGGTCGCTACCCCCTTTTACTCTGGTAGCGTACTGCCCCCGCCCCTAAGTACGTCGACCTCCGGCGGCCGGGCAGTACAGTAGTGATCCACTTCTACTTTGGATCACTACAGTGGAGTACCTCTACTGTACTCCACCGGGGAGTGACCTGTACAGCGGCACACGTGGCGGTACTCCTGCCACCTGTACTGGCAGACAGAGCGCGCACCACGTGTGCTAGCTGGGACTCCCCCGGCTGACACTCCCATTACACTAATTCCTACGCCCCTACACTAGGACCTACTAGTCTACTGTACCCGACCAGGACGTTATACGTACGGCGGTACACGTGGCCATTCCGCCGCCACCTGTCACCCGTGGCGGTACGCGCACCCCTTGTACAAGCAGAATTATCCCCTGCCTTTCCAGTATCGTCTGATCACCCCTACGGGATCTCCCTCCGGGTCGTTACATTTACCGACACCGGTCGGTACCCGTTCTCCCACAGTTGCGTATGCGCGCAGTAACACGTGTTTGCGTGTGCGCGCAGTTACACGTGGTTGCGTGCACGCTGACAGCACGTGTGTGCGTGGCGGGCAGGCACACGTGGGTCCGTGGTGCGCCAAAAAATTTGCTTTAGTAACGAGTGTCCTTTTCAAAAACTTTGAAGTAAAGAAGTTGAAACAATTTCACGTGAGTCAAAAAAATTTAAACTCTAATTATTTGCGAGTAGTGCGCAATTTACGTATGGCACGATGGTGAATAGTGCCACCGTAATGAGCGTCAGCGTCGTGCCCGTTCGCAAATCGGCGGTCGCACACGTGGCAGGTGAGTTTGCGGGTAGGGTACTCTGCGACGGCTACTGCACGCCGGTGAGGCAGACCTGCCTCGTGAGAGCGGCGCTGGCGGTAGCTAAGAAAGCTTCGCGCGCACTGTTCGCAGCGGTAGACGAGGGGCCGACTTCGCGGAGGATTAGCTCGTCGATTAGCGCGCTGCGTTGCGACGCGATATATATGTAACGCACGACCGGTGTCGAGGTCGATTCCAGGGTCTACGAGCGCGAAGGTGTCCTTGTCCGAGGCTTCGGTACCCTCGATGTCCACCAGACGAGGCGCCTTGAACAATGTAGAATGTGATGCGGTGGTTCCGCTGGGGGAGATCGGCGGGGTGACTGAACGGCGGGGAAGAGTGGTGGCCACGTGTTGTAGTTGTATTGCGGCTAAGGGTGTACTTGGCGGCGAGCGATTCGGCGGCGGTAATGTGGTGGCGGGGAGGGTAGAAGGCGGCGAGCGAAACGGCGGCGCGGTTACGGTTGCCTTAATGCGAGCGGCGGCGGCGGCGATGCGGCGTTCTCGTATAACGTCGGGGTGATTGATAGGGCGCTTTAAACGTGCCATAAACTACTGCGCTGTTGCGCCAGGCGTACAGTACGTAGTACTGTAGCCCAAATGTATAACGTTCACTGTAAAACTATACAGTAGTATGTACAGTAAACGTTAACGACAAAGTAGATTCTTGAAAAAAATTGATTTCCAATTCGGCGGAGTTGATAAGGCGGCCTTATTAACGATGCGAAAACAGCTGGAATCGACGGCGAAATAAGGCCGGTCTTATCAGCGGAGCGGGGCAGAACCAAATGAGGCGGTGGTCCCTTAAACTGATCAGTGTCGGGAGATCGACCGGGCGCGGCGGTCCGGAGAGGGCTTTGAGGGTGTAGCTAAAAGGGGGGTAATTAGCGCTACCAGGGCAAAAGGGGACGCAGCAGGCCATTGCCTTGTAACTGCGGGAGCACACCGGGAGGGGACAAGGTTGTCTTGTAATTCGGGTTGGTTCAATGTGCTGAGGTCGAAAACGAGTAGCGTCTTCGACCTGGCTTTATAGTCCTATTGACTCTACAATAACAGTAGGCGCACTACCATAAAAGGGAGGTTGCGCTACCCATGAAATGTCTCTAAAAGGTTACACCCTGTACAGGTAGAATTGTAGGTGGCACGTCCATAAGGGACTCTATTGTTGATAGATAAATGTAGCCTACATAGTTTAACCTGAATTGATAATGGTAAGCTAATTAAAGTGATTACTCGTCTAGTCAGTTACTCTGACAGATTCCCCCGGAAGCCCGTCAACCATCGAGGCTCCCACGGGAGAATCAATTGCAGTGCTGCAGACGAGACGCGCCGTACTAATCGCGATCACTTACTGTAATCCAAATTACCCAACGGCAAATTGCGCGCAACCATGCACAGTCACTACCCGTCCAGAAAAGTATAATTTGGTAACATCTTTTTTAAATTAACTTAAAAACTACTTCCCCTTGCCCAAATGAGGTCAGACTGGTGGGGATGGATGTTCTGCGTTTGTTAACCAAATGGGAGGAGATCCAGAATCTACTGGATCAGAGAAACCCCGAATTTTCTTTTATTGGGCGGCAATACACAGATTTTTAGAAAAAGGTCTATTTGGTAATTTTTAAATAATTTTTAAATAATTTAAGAATTAATAATTATTATTAATAAGCACCAGAGAGAGCGTATATCGCGGACACGTGTACCCAACACCGTAGTGTGCAGCGACACCCTAAATTACGCAGCTTCCCTACGCCCGCATTACAACAGAGCTTGCATGCCTTCTCTCATACTATGCCACGTTTACACGTAAACACGTGCACATCGACACCCCTCCGCCATCGCTGCCCCCCTTCCTCGCCCGTACCGACCTCGACCAAGCCCTGGCACACCGCCCTCCCTTTCACCCTCCGCACTCAACGACCCTCACCGAAAATGAAACCCCGCGCCCTACTTCTCCTCTTCTCCGTCACCTTCATCTCACTCGCGGCCGCCGCCCCGCTCACCACGCCCAACCCGCATCCCTCAGACAACGCCCAGACCGCCGCCACCGCCAACGACAGTCCTGCGCATCCCCCGCCGCACCAACCACCCGCCCCCGCGCCCCCGGCAGAAGAAGAAACACCCCACGAGAGAGATCCAGACCCTCCGAATCCGAAACCCCCGGCTGATACAAACGAAGGCACAGAGCCCCACTTCGAGGTCCCGCCGGAAGACGACCCCACTTCCAACTCTGACACTGATCCTGACCCGCCCACGCACCAGCCGCCACGCAAGGAGCAACCCCCAGCTGCGGATCCACCCGACCACACTACCCCCACCGACTCTTCGTCAGACTCCACTGATCACCCCGCCGACCCACCGCCGAAGGAGAGCAACAACCCGTTTTCCAACATCCCCAACCCCTTCCCTTCCTTTATCACCCCGCTCGTCGCAAAGATCATTATCGGCGCCGTCGCCTTGTTGCTTGTTTGTGTCGTTGCGAAACAGACCGCCATGTGTGGATTGCTACCCGGGGGGCACACGTACCAGCCTGTCAGTGAACAGAATGCTTCACTGCGGGAGGGAGGCCCTGTCGCAGAAGGCGATGACAGCCCTGAGGCCGAAGGATGGAATGATGACTGGGAGAATGACGACTGGGACGCGGAAGATGCCGCAAAAGCCTGGGACATCCCAGAGACTGCAAAGGTCTGACGAGGAAAGAGGGGCGCCCGCTTGTAGTCGGTCACTTGCATGTTTCACCATCTTCTGGAACAAACTGTTCTGTGTCGGCCCTGCCTGTCTCAATTATTTATCGAGTTGTTTTCATTTAAGCGTACCGTTTGGCGCGGAGGGAAAAGGCCATGCCTTACTTTTCCACCAAATTTTCTTCTATAGCGATGCCTATATGCCGCGCTTTGCGATCCGTCTTCAAGACTAGTCGGTCGCCTGCGCTCAGCGTTGTTACACTTTTCATGCATACCTCGTCGTCCGAACCGACCGCCGCGAGACGCACTGTCTCGGCGTTTTGAACGAACACTGTACATTCTTGAGTGTCCGTTTCTTCCGTCTCCGCTTCAATCAGGAGAAGCGGTCTCTTCTCTATTTTAGCACGCCCGACGATAGCCGTGCGACATGTTTTCCCGCCATCACCGACTACCAGCACTTCGTTCCCGGCTTTCAATTCCGCTAGATATTTCGTTTTACCACCGGGAACGAGGCAGTACGAGTGCACTGGACCAGCGTTGACTCGAAACGGTCTGCTCGGGACGTAGGAAACTTTGGCAGCTTCGGACAAGACCAAAAACATTGCCTGCGAGGAAGAGCCCACCATCAGGCCCTCATCCTCCTGCAGCATAGAACAGGTGTCTATGCAAACACGCTCTCCCACCCCTATTGGACGGATTGACCGGATTCTAGCGTGCGACATTCCTTGCATGGGCATTCCTGCATTGTCCACCAACTGCCGTTTCAGGGCTGCGAATGCCAACACTTCCTGTTCATTGTGAGATCGCAGGACGCACCCGTCGACACCTATCTCCAGCATGTCGAACATTGCCTTGGCATCTTCAACGGTATCCACTAGCGCATATAGTTTGGTCGGCGTGTTTTGAAAGGCGGCAATCAGGTTCTCCGCGGGAATGGCTTTCCAATCAATGGAGTCCATGATGATCACGTCGTTGGTCCCAGCGATAGCCATCAACTGTTCGACATCGTCCGCGGAGGAAATGACGGCCAGTCTGCCACCGGGAAAACTGCCTTGGCCGTCAACGCAAGTTGAATTAAAGCATCCTAGCGGTGACCACCGCTCCATATCAGAAGTCTCCGTGAATAAAAAGTCGTTTATATTCCCTTCGAGTGCAGTCGTCAGAGCTTGTTTTGATTTGGGCATCACCCAAAAGGCTCGTTTATCTGCTCCGGCCGTCCATTGTACAGACGGTTTCTTTTTCGCTTTTGATTTGCATCGCTTCTCCATGAAGCTTGACCGAATTGCGCTGCCATGCCTTGGCAAGCGATGCAGCGGAGCAGAAAAGGCTAGTACCCTTAAATCGTCCATTTGAACAAAACAAAGCGGGTCACCTGATCTTTGCAGAGCCTCACAATGATACTAATAGCTGTCTAGAACCCAGCTCGACACTGCCTGTACAAAGCCTACCATACGCAAACATGTTGTCATCTCGATCCCCGCAAAAATTTCGCATCCAGATTTTAATCGGAAGACGGTTTCGGAGATTTTCCTCTCACCTCACCTGAGCAATTCTTCCACGAAGGCCTGCCGTTCGGTGCAAACCACGCCGCCACTAAGTGTCTGACCGGAGCGAACAGACGAGGCCTGCCATTCTGCAAGAACGAAGCAGCCCCCGAAAGCGAGCTTTACTACCGCTCATCGAAATGGAAAGGACAATTTGTTTTGCTGCGGCTGGAATGGTCCGTCCCGCTTCAACAACCTCTTCCTTCACAGTCTCATGCCCATGTGGGACGCAGTGGAGACTAGCCATAGCGCAAACACCAGCGCGACGCGGAACTTTGCGCCGTGCGAGAGGAATCAGAATGGCTTCCGATGATGGCCCGCCGCGACGAGAACAGATTGACCGAAATGATGGCAGAGCCACGTCTAGCATGTTCGGGATGAAGCTCAAGACAAATGGAGATGTCATCAAGTTTGGCTTTGCGGCAGTTGCGATTGCGTACGCAATAAAGAGCATTATACAGCTTCTCGGCGCGCCGGACTTGCTGGCCGGGCAGCTCACGACTGGTTTCTTTTCAGTTTTTGCGCTCCTCGCCTGGGTTTCCACCTACCTGTTCCGCGTAGGGACGAAGGGCATGACGTACGCTCAACAGCTTCGCGAGTATGAGGACGAGGTTATCAAGAAGAGATACGAGGAGCTTACGGAAGAAGAACTAGCCGCTTTGGGCGAAGAGCTTGAGGACGACGTTTAGTGTGGCGATTAAGGTCGAAGAAAGACAATGAATTTCGCCACTCGCGGTCTGTGGTGGACCCTAAGAATAATATACAACTGAGGCGGGTGACCCTATACACTGCCGTGAAAATAGTTAGCAAACCTGATATCAATAAATGAGTTGGGTTGTTTTCAGATACACAGCTGTCGTCCGGACAGCTAGAAGCTCATGTCTGCGATGAAGCACCCGCTACTAGGCCAAGAATCCAATACGTGGGTTCCGACGACTGAGCATCGAGCCAGGCAATCTCGTTTTGCAAAAGAAACTGCAACGTAGTGCGCGTGCGGTATGCATCCCAATTAGTAAGGCGCTGCAACTCTGAGGCATTTGTGTAGCCCTTGGTACCACATGCAGTAAGCGCCTTGGTATGATCCGGGTTGAGCTCGACAGGAACAGATCGAACTAGACGGTTGTTGCCGACATCCATGATTTTAAACCCGCTACCTAGGACATCAAGCTTGGCCACGGCTCGCTCGACGTCATCACTGCATGTAGAATCGCACGTCATAGTCGAGATTTAGTTGTGTTAGTGAATGAGTCTTCAATGAATGTGCAAGCCAGCGATTGGGGCATGAAACAGCGCACCTTGAAATCTTCTCAGTGTATGTTATGCGCTTCGTCTGAAGCACTGGCAGCAACTCCCTGAGCGACATAATCCCTCCGTTAATCGGTCTTGTGGCGACGCAAATCTCGATAATTCGCACGGCCAACTCATAGTAGAAATCGCCAACGCCCAACAAGTCCGACCAGACGCCCTTTTTCGAAGTGAGCGGGTCGACCCCTATAGTGGCACACATGGCATGGAACTTTGCGCGAAAAGCAGGATCACTTTGAATTTCCTTCTTGTGCTTAACAGCAAATTGCGTTAGTAGCCGAAGGCGAGTTCATTGAGCCATCAGAGGGCTACGGTCCGCAGATAGAGCTTGCCCTTGCATCGCTGCGTGCTCACGCCTGGCTTTCGCATTGCGAACGGAACTAGGTCCCAATCCTCCGCGATTCATCTTGAGATTCTCGCGTACGGCTACAGTTAATGTCTAGCGCAGATGCTTTTTGCGGCAGAATGAGTCGTAAACGAATGCGGCTGGGCGAAACCGTGAGGGGCTACGAGCAGCGAAGGAGAAGTTGTCGCCGGCCTTGTGCGACTGTGAATGGCTAGCAAGGCAACTTTTCGGCAGCGAATACTCAAATCGGCAAATTTTGCTCCGTTTCCATGGCATTTAAATCCACATTGGCGTGCACACCTCCCGGTCGACCAGATCACTTCGTATTTCGTCTCCTCGTCGTGGCCGCAAGACTAACACTCTGCTGCCCCAAAGCACTATGACGCGCACGGGCGCATTTTTGACACCCATCCTGCCTCTGCGGAGGGGGTGTCCAGGAAGTTTGCGACGCTGCAGCACGCGGTGCGCGCTCATAACAGGAGGGTCAGGGGGCCGCCGCAGACCAGGGACTCCTCCGTCAAAGGAGACCCACAATTTAGACAGCCTCCCTCCTACGTTTGTCTCAGAAGTGCGACGATTGATACAGAGTGCGTTTACGTTTACTATTTTGTGCCTGTCCCGTGCAATACTACACTCGCGGTAGTCAGAGAATTCTAGTCAAGGATCAGAGGCTTTTCATTCATCTTACTAACACCTTATTTGTGTCATTACATTTTTGCGTACTAGGCCGTTCGTTCCTGCAACAAGTCAAAGAAACGCTTCAATGGCCCTACGTCCGCTACACAGGCATTCTCTTCCAGAAAGAGCCAATATGTATTTCCAACCCCGACGGTATCCCCGAGCAGCTGCGCACTCTCCACCGGCGCGCGGACTATAAGTTCATAGACATACCGCACGGCGTTACTCGGCGCGCAGATCGCAAATCCGGCGGCTCCACAGGTTCCGCAAATGTTCGACTATGCGCACTATTCGAAACATATGGAATCGACGGCGAGCATCTCAGAGAATTGCAAAGTATTGCAGATGAATTAGAGGAAAGCAATGAACGGCAACTGCGGGCATGGGCGGATGTGGGGCAGTCTATGAGAACTGAGACAGATTTGACGAGCAAGACGGGGCCGGAGATTTTTGTCGAGGACCATAGGGACTTGTATGACTGAGGATGCAGCATGGAGGCTGGAATGCTTGGGCACGAGCGAGCTTGTGCCGCAAGGGAAAGCTAACGGAAAAATTGTTGCAACCTCAATTGTGTCGTTTCTTCTTCGCAAACTTGGGGTCAAGATGATAAAATTTGCAGCGGCGCAAATTTTTGGCTGGCGGTGGCGAAAGGGACAACACCAGAGCATCCCAAGCAGCAACATCTGGTGATCCGCTCGTCACCGTCATCAACGAGCCATTCCCTTAACAATGTGGGCCTCCTTGCGGTCCAAGGCCGTGGCATGCAATCTACGTCGCTGCCTGACCACCAGTAACCCCACGCCCAAACGATCCCCTAGCAGGGAGACACCACAGGCCACTGGTGGTAAGCAAAGAGCTCACCAGACTGGCTTCTCGCCTCAAGCCGCTCTCTTTTTCGGAGTCCCCATCGCCGTGACCTTCTCCCTGGGCGTGTGGCAGGTTCGCCGTCTGAATCGCAAAATCCGCCTCATCAAGGAACGCGAAAACCATCTCTCGGCGCCCCCGCTGGCTGCGGCCGACCTCTTCACGGCGTCATCTGACTTGGATCATCGCCGCGTGCAAGTGTCGGGTAGGTTTCTGCACGACGCCGAGATCACCGTCGGGCCGCGGAGCGCCCCGAAGGATCTCCCATCCCCCGTGCTGCAATGGGGCGGATCGTCGGGGTTACAAATCATAACGCCGATGGAAATGGAGGACGGTAAGGTAATCCTTGTTAACCGCGGTTGGGTACCCCAACGCCTGGCGCAGGCGCCAAAAAGGCGGCACGCCGTGGTGTCGCCACATCCATTTCTCACTAGAGTAGACTCCTCGACCCCCACGTGTGACTACGAGGACGGCGCCACGGGTAAGAGCTCGCTCAAAACATTCACGGCGGTGGTGCGCGGCTGCGACGAGAAGAACCGATTTACGCCTGACAACCAACCCGCCAAAGGCGAGTGGTACTACATTGACCCCGACGCGATTCTGCACGCGCACGAGCTCTGCGACGGCGATACCCGCGCCGTCGTGGTCGAGCTGTTGGAACCGTTGCCCCGCGGCGGATGGCCGCACCCGAGAAGCTACAACGACCTTCTCGAGTTTCGCACACCGCCATCGACACACGTGACGTACGCGACGACGTGGTTTTGTCTCAGCGCGGCGCTGGCGCTGCTGACGCGAAACCGGTTTCGACAACGCGGGCGCGGGCGCACGTGATGAAGGCGCGGGAGAGTTGGGGCGCGCTAGACGGAAGGCACACTGTTTATCGGATGAAGATGCGCCGTCGCCGCGATACAAGCTGACGACGGTCCCCTCGGGTAATGCCGACGCACACGCGGGGCTAGTCATAAAAAGAAGTGCCGACCCTGGCCGGAGGCCAGTAGCGAACCATGGCCTTCCCGATGATGTTCTCCTCCGGCAAAAAACCCCAAATGTGCGAGTCGTAGCTATTGTTCCTGTTGTCGCCAAGCACCATAACAAAACCTGCGGGCACCTCGCCCGGCCCCCATTCATAATTGGGATGTTCCTTAATAAACGGTTCCTCCCTCCGCAGGTCATTAACATAGACTTCGCCCCCTGTGATGCGCACGATGTCGCCCCCCCGGGCAACGATGCGCTTAATAAACGCGTCCTTCTTCCTATACCCGCGTTCCTTTAGAGCCTGTGGCGGCTCGAAGACGACGACATCGCCCGTCTCTGCCGAACGCACATACTTTGACACCTTGTCGACGAGGAACTGATCGCCGATATCAAAAGTGGGAAACATGGAGAGGCTGGGAATATAACGCGGCTCGACTACGAAGCCGCGGACTAGGAGGGCGACAGCGAAAGCCATAGTGAATGTGCGCAGGTCATCGAATTGGTCATCGTTGAGCACGCGCGAAAACCAGGAGCGCGGGGCGGGGGTTTCCAACTCGGGCGGTGAGGGAGGCTTGGGACTCTCGTCGGCGGGAGCGGCGGGGGGGAAGGGCGTGCTCGCGGCTTGCTCGTCGGCATCAAGCGAAAGGCTCGGCGTTCTTCTGCGAGGCGGGCGCCGCGGCGTGAGACGCGGAGGGGCAGCGACGCGCAGAGCCGGGCAGGGCGTAGAAATGAAGGCCAGGGAGACAGCGGGAAGCGACATGGCTGCGGACTGGAATGTGGAAAGCGGGCGACCGTGTGGGAGAGGAGGGCGGGAGCACGTCTATTCGATTTTTACACTTTTGATCTCAGGTCCACCAAGAGCTCAATCGCTTTTTCAACAACCATATCTAGCGAGAACACCCACTCACCTCCGCTGCAGTTTTTTCGAGGCCGCCTTCCGTGCGAACAATCTTCGCCCCTGTGCAATGGCGCCGCCAGCAGTCGTTGTTCAACCAGCCCAGGCGATCCGCGTCATGTCAAGTCGATCACCTCTGGATCCAGGTGCACGATAGCCGTGCACTTCTTAACCACGGATTTCCTCGCTTCCTCCTTGTCCTCCTTCTTCGCTGTCCACCCTAGGCTTGCCGTCCCTGCCCTCTCCCACCTCCCGGCTCCCGCCAAAACCCACTTTCGCCACCGGTCCGCCTCATCCCCACCCCTCCCCCCCACATACCCACTGTACGGCACCCCGTCCATATCCAGCACTCCCCTCCCCTTCAGCCACCGCCCCTCTCTCAATCTCACACACACACACCCGATAACCGTCCCCCAGTTCATTTCCCACTCCGTCGTCCACCCTTCAATAAGCAGGCTCTCCCCCCGCCCCACGGACACACTCTTCCCCTCCTTCTCCCTCGCCTTTTCCTTCACCTCGTTCCCTCCTTTCCCGTACACATACCCGCCCTCCAAGTTCCCCCTTTCCACGCGCACTGCTATCCCGGCGCTAACCTCCAACCGGACGCACCCCACATCCCCCTGGCCCTGGCCCTCCCCCACCACCGTCTCGCCAAGCTCGAAGCGCCGCACCACGCGGTCCATGCGCCCGTCCTCCGCGGCAAAACTCTCGACAAACCCGTGCACGACGCGCTCCTCGCCCACCGCGGCATCGCCGTGGAAGGCTTCGGGGCAGTTGGCGTCGGTACCGTCCACGGCGACGCGCGCGACCATGTGGTTGCAGCCCGGGATGTGCTCACGCACGCGTGTGACGCGCACGGAGAGGCTGCCGCGCGGCGGCGCGGCAGCGTACCACCCGGGGGGGATGCCCAGGGCGCAGGCGGCAGAGGGCGGCACGTAGAAAAGCGGCAGCGGGCGCGCGACGTCCGTGCCGCCCCGCGACAGATACAAGCCCAGCGCTAGCGGCAGGGGGGACGACAACGCCAGAGAGGCCGTGGCCGGGCACACGCTGTGGTGCGCGAGTAGGGCGGGCGGGGGTGCGCAGGCGCGGGGGGAGTGTTGATCCCAGGGATCCATTGACGGGGGCGCGGGTGGCTGGTGGCGGGGGGGTGGGGACGGGGGGGAGGCGAAGGGGGCAGGCATACAAAGGGGAAGGTGGCAGGAAGCCGCGGGATGAGGTGGCACTCAGCGGATGCACTGCTGGCGCACGCAGAATGGCGCCTGAGGCGCGCCTTTGCAAAATGGCGCCAACTCCGTCAAACCCTTCTTGCTCTATAGACGCTCTCCACGTACAGCGACATTACGAACGTACAAACGTACAAACCTACCTTGCCGTAATCTACATCTCTGCCTCAGTCAACTGTACAAGCTCGCTCCGAGACTCACGTTAGATCGATAACGTTCGACTCCAAGTCAATCACGGGCACATCCGATGAGGAGTCGCCTCCACTGTCACTAATCTCAATCACAACTGGTACACCCACCTTGCGTCTCTTTGGCCTCCTCGGCCTTCGTGCCTCTCCCCCTCCCCGTCCACCCCCCAAAGACCCCATATCCTTCTTCACCAGCTCCAAATACCCCTCATACGTGCATCCTTTTCCCTCATCATCCACCAACCTTCTCGCCCTCATCCAGCTCCTCTCCCGCACAAAAACGCTCACGCTCGCCTCCGGGCACGGCCTCTCCCGCACTGCTCGATACTTGCACGCGCTCCGCTTCTCCGGAATCTTATCACCGTCCACTTTGATCGCCAAGCTCTTCCCTTCCTTCGTCATCTCTTTCTCGCTCACCCCCGACCTCCCCTCATACCCATACTCATTCGTCGCCGTCGGAATATCCTCTGTGTATACCCCCACCCCCACCATGGCCTCCAAGCATATTGTCGCCGCCTCCTCATTCCCGTCCCCGATCCCCTCGTTCGCCTGCATCATCGTCCGCGCCCGTCCAAACTCAAACCTTCGCACGTCCTTCTCCACCGCCCCGTTTGCCGCAAACGACATCCGCTCCACAAACCCCAGCATCACGCTCTCTCCGAACACCTGCCGCGACTCGTGAAATATGCGTGAATCGTTTGTGCACACCCCGTCGATGAACAAATGCGTCGTCAGTAGGTTCTCGGGCCACGTGCACGGGTACTTCTCGCTGACACGCGTAATGCGCACCTCGAACGCGCCCGGCTCAATAACCGCGTACCACCCGGCCTGCACGCCGGCTGCGTTGGCCATGTTGGCCGACGGTGAACGGTCCGCCGCCACCACGGGCGACACATAGTACAGCGGCACTGGTTCCCGACCTTCCAATCCCTTCTTTGGCTTGTAGATGCCTAGCCCGAGTGGGTATGGCGAAAGCGACGAGTCAAGGCCGGACGGCTGCAACACGTCACGGCTAGTCACCATTTGCGGGGGGGGAACCACCGCCCGTTGGTCCACGGCATTCCACATGTTGGTGCCACGCTCTTAGCCACGGTCTACGGCGGCACGCCGGCGACCTGAACTGTTGCAGGTTGGTGAGACTGGGGGTAGACGATTGACGAGGCTGGAGCTGGGCGCTTAAGTTTCTCGGGCAACATGCGCCCAACGTGCTGCCGTGCCAGCAAGGCGGTCGGGGAACCAGAAAACGAGGTGCTGACAGGCAAGGCCAGAGTTATAAAAGCGATCTTAGGAGAAGATGTTTAAGAAAGAACACAGGCGAAGTTGATAAGGCAGGGTGGCGGTGGAGTGGGGTTGGAGCAGAGAGGTGGAGGTGGGGAGGAGGTGGCGCTCTCGTCCCAAAAGGCCGTGTAGTACTTGTACACCAGTGGCATTGCATGAAGTAGAATGGTGCAGAGAGAAAGACAGACATAAATTTTTTCCTATTTCGGATTTTTAGGCATTTTCTGGGCTGCACGCTTTGTGCGGAACGCGACAAATCGACGACTTGAACTTTTCTTCGTCCTTCTTCGTCCTTCTTCGAAGGGTACCCTTCGAAGGGTACCTTCGGTACCTAAGGTACCTGTCAAAATGTCAAACCCTTAGCTAGACTGCGAAGTGGTTCATACTGTAGCACACCTCGTACATGTAAAGACAGTCTTCTTTTTATAATAAGCAAATCTCCGCATCATGTCAAGTCTATGGTTTCAGTAGTATCGTTTGCACGGGCGCAGCTGCGTTTCGTTTTTTTTTTAGTTTCACTCACCAAAATGACCGAATCTGCCCGTCTCTTCTGGCTCTTTTTCTCCGCCTCATCCGATTTGATGAACTCATCATACTTTGCAAACGTCATCGGTTCGCCGTCATCATCAACCAACGACCGAGACCACATCCAATTCCGTTCCCGAACATGCAACACTATTGTCGCTTCCGGCAAGTCTTCTCGATCGCCTACGTAGTCCTTTGGCATCTCGTCTCTGTGACAAATCTTCGTCTCTGTCGGGCCACTCGCAGACACGGAAACGCTTTTGCCTTCCTTTGCGGCGGTCTTTGCGTGAACCTTTCTATCTTCCTTTTCTTTGGTTGCTCTCCAGTTTAGAAAGGAGCTAGACACTGGGAGCGCCTTGATTTTTCCAACCTGGACTTGAAGCCGTATCGACCCTGCAAAGGAGTGCGCCCCTTTTCCATCGTCTTGCTCGGTTGTAGGCGCCCTGTCGAATGAAAACCGTTGGCCGCAAAAATTAAACACCCCCGGCTCGACCTCTTCTCGTTTTTTTAGTATCATTTTAGCTGTAGTTTCCGTGAATCGGCTGAAAGTGTAGTGAAGGCGGTAATGGTAATTCGCATTATGTTCATCCACATGCAGAAAAGCTAGAAAACTGTCCTTTTGCGGTATTTCCGGTCTTCGACCGTTTACCATAGTTATCTTAACCAAGAACGGCATGGGGGGCTGTACGACCACATACCAGCCCGAAATCACGCCGCCTCCATTCTTGAGAAACTTGGCCCGGTCTCTCGCCACAGCAGGTGATACATACATGATGTTGAGAGGAGTTAGGTTTTGTTCGTCATGAGCATGATATGCATATAGGCCAAATCCTACAGCACTAGGTGAGGCTGCTGCATATTCGCGGCATGCATACACGACGTCGCGCACATGCTGCAGTTCCACGGGAGGAACGACTGCGCGGTGGTCTTCCAGGTTCCACATCTTGAGAAACGCCGTCGACACCAAAACAAACTATGTAGAGATAGAAGGCGCTTCACTCACTCAGAGAGAAGAGTGAAGGCGTGCATTCCAGAGTGCTACGGTGCGTCCTTGAGCTTTGGAAGCTGCGTGATTTCTGCAGGTAGAGGTCACGGCGTGGGGTGCTGCGGCGTTCTCCTCCATCTTACTGATGAAACAAGGCGCAGTCGCAGCAATCTAGCATTCATAGAACGCAGCACACATTCGGCAAACACGTGACACACTGCACAACACCTTAAGTGCCTGGTTGGCAGTACTTCACATTGCTGTACCCTTCGAAGGGTACTGTACAGTTGTCAGACGTGTAACTATATTACACGTCTGACAACTGTACAGTTCTGATGCGTATCGCAGCTATCTTCATATTATGAAGATAGATATCTTAGCTGTGATACGCATCAGAACAGCAGACGGGTCACGGAGCACCTGCTTGTGGACAAATGCAAGAACGGTGATCCGCGATATGATGGGGAGATTGCATAAAGCGAGAAGGGGATGAATGCAGGCTGACGGACTCAGTCTTGCATTATCGAGAATGTAGAGTTAGTGGCGTATAGCTAAGTGCAGAGTGCATTGGAGGAAATCATGAGAGAGATGACTGAGCTGAGCACGCGTCTATAAAAGCCAGAGAATAGTGACCCTCCTTGGGGAGGAGTTAGCCGGTACAGTCAGCCCTCCCAATAGTACTCCCCCAATAGTAATAAACCCCCCAGTATGAATACCACCCGTCTTTCCCGCAAGAAAAAGTGTGATTTGAGATGCTATAGGCAGGTCATCTGGATACGGAAATAGTGTGTTGATTTCGCAAAAACACATTGAATATTTATTAAAATTTGAAGTAAGACCATTTCGAATAAGGATACAGTAGTGGTCACAGAACACGAAACCAACAGGTATGTGTTGGGCGACCAACTCCCGCCTTTTTATTCACGATACCCACCAAGGTTTTGCATAGCGCGTGCAGTCGCTGGCGGCAGCCCATCTCATCCCCTTGGCAATCTCCCTTCTCCCCCATCCCGCCCAAGTCATGTCAGAACGTAATCCCCTTACTATTGCTCAGCAAAATGAGCTGCTTGCCGATTACGATCTTCGCCGTCGCAACGGGGAACGCTGTGACCAGCCTTCTGTTGGAGAATGGGCAGGTCGTTACTTTCAACTCAACCGACCTGTTCCGCAGTCTACTGTCTCGAGCATCGTTAAGATGCACAGCAAGCTAGAGGCGAGTGCATCCATAAATTCGAAATCTCTTCGGAATCCGTTGTCTTCACGATTTGATGAAGCTCTTGCTGTATGGATCAGTGACTGTGCAAGCCGTAACGTCGCCCTTTCGGATAATATCATCAAGCAGAAGGCCGAACGTCTTTGGAAATTGACAACAAACGACTATAGGGCTCCAGAGCTTCGTTTTTCCAACGGCTGGCTTCAAAAGTGTAAGAAAAGGCATGGATTAAGACGCATATCATATCATGGCGAGCAGATATCGGCTGCGTTTACTGAGGCTGAGAGAGCACTACCTCTCATCAGGACGATGCTTGACGGCTACAATTTAGACGAGATTTATAACGCCGACGAATTCGGTCTGCAGTACTGATTAGCACCTACCGAGACCATTGCCGCCACACACCTTAGTGGATCCAAAAAGGTCAAGGCAAGAATCACGTGTCTGGCCTGCTGCAACGCTAGTGGAAGTGATTTGGTTCCCTTGCGGATAATTGGAAACGCTCGATCGCCGCGTGCTTTTCGGGCAAAAAGTGGGGAGGAGCTGGGGTTCGACTAGAGAAATAATGCCAAGGCCTGGATGACACAGGCACTTTTTTTGAGTGGCTCCAATTATTCAATTCAAGGATGATTCAGAAAGGAAGGAGAGCTCTTCTCTTGTTAGACAACTGTTCCGCACATGGAACGATGACAGAGGTAGACACATTGAACTTGTCCAACACGAAGATTGTTTTCCTTCCTCCGAATACCACATCAATCATGCAGCCATGCGATGCGGGAATTATCGCTGCTTTGAAGTGTCGCTACAGGAGGTTGCAAATGGGCAGAGCTCTTGACTTTATTGACATGGGAGAGAAGAATATATACAAGTTTGATGTGCTACAAGGTATGCGTTGGATAAAAAAGCATGGGAAGAAATGGACAGCAGGGTTATTCGAAACTGCTGGTGTCACACCAAAGTCGTAGGTGAGGATGTTGATGTGAACGGTGAAATTGTGTTGCACCGTGACCGTCGGGAGCTTGACATCGAAATTGATCAAGTTGTACAAGATAGCAGCGAGCGAATGCGAATGGAGTATCTACTTCATCACAAATCAGAAATGGAGTCTACAGAGCCAGTCACAGACCGAGATCTGGTTGCTTTTATCTTCGGTCCCGAAGAAGATTCGGGGAACACAGAAGGAGGCGATGAGGAAGTGTTTATGCCTCCCCTTCGTGAGCAGTTGCGCATTTTGGCTTCTGCTCACGTCATTATGAGCAATGATTACACCTCTGGGGCGGTTCTACGGGGGTTGGAAAAGGTGCAACGGGGACTGAGACGTCAAGCGCGGGAGGAATTTTGTCAAACAAGAATCAGTGATTTTTTTAGGACAGAATTATGATAATAACGCCTCCCGTAGTGATAAACCTCTGTCTATGGGTATCTTTGTCTTTTACGAACAGCACTCTTATTGGGAGGTTGCACTGTAGCTTGTACCGAACGAACTCGCTGGGTCGAGACCATCCGCTACAGTACACTGATCCCTCACTCCCCCGCTGATTGATACTTAGACCTCTGGCTACCGCGATCCACTGTAATTTGCAACTGTACATTCCGCATGTGTGTCAAGTTGCCGAGTTCGCACACGTGCAATAAGCGTAAAGTTTATGTAGGCACTACAGTATACGCAACGGAAGGAGAGTCGCCTGGGTTGGAGATTACTACAAGTACAAGTGGGCTCCGTGGCGCGCGTTGCGCGCAGCAAGTGGGGAGGAATGCGAAAGGGTCTGAAAGTAATAAGGGTTTTGGCATGACAGTTTCAATATAAAAAAATGGAATAGAGTGGAAAGGTGGGAAGTCGTGCAAAAGAGATTTGGTGTAATAAAATGGAGTGGTAAAGGCACGGGGTGGTTGACAAAACGTAAAGTAGCTTTATTTAAACTCTATCGATGAAGTCCCTCTGCGAAAGGACTTCAGGGAACACTACGTTGCAGGTAGTTTCAACTGCTTCCGATGTCAAAACAATGACGTTGCCCGGATGTGTGGTTCTGGACAGGGAAACATATAGTTGACCGTGAGAGAAGCAGTGGTTTCTAAGATCGAGTCCCAGGAGTCCTTCAAAATACTGTCCCAGCACCTTGTTCGTAATCAAGGCAAAGCAAGTGCGAATGGAAAACTGGGCCCTTGTAAATCCTGGGAAATATATTTGTCGTCTCCGGGTCCGCAGGGCATGCCAGACAGGCAGGGTGGCCTTCCCTGATGACTTCCCGTAGCTACGTGGAGACAAAGCAAGCTTTTAGACATGCTGTCTACTATGTACCTAGCGCCGTTGACATGTCCATCGTTAGGGTCGAGGTTCCGAAGAAGCATGACAACGAAATCCTTCTTTAACCTTAGTTGATGGTCAGGTGGAGACGAACCTGCAGTCAGTTTATTTAATAGTTCAAATGGATACCTGAGGGCGTTTCGTCCTCGTTCTCTACTTTTTCTGCTCTCAAGAACGTGCGATGCGCACCCGGAATCATGTCCCCAACAATCTCATTGATTTCTAGCAGGACACTGCTCTTGGTTGCTCGAATGACTCTAGAAGTAAGCCAATCCATGTCAGAGTGCCGTGTCGCAATTCTGTCAAGATGGAACGACAGAGGTCTGTAATGGATCTCACAGTCCGTACAGAGGTCGGAAGACGTATCATGTCGCGACATGATACGTCTTCCGACCTCTTAGTTGTCCTTCACCAACGTGAAGCAGAAATGGTGCGAACTGGAGAGCTTCGCGGCCTGCAAACGTCTCTTGGCGGAGAGCTGAAAGTCTCATGTTCTCTGTGAGAGAGAGCGACTCGAATGCTTGGAAGAGAGCCGAGGATCTGACACATGCATTGACTATCTGTGTTCTTGACCCGCCCGGCACGACTGGAAGAATCTGCCGAAAGTCTCCAGAAAACAGGACGTGTTTACCGCCGAAAGGAAAGTCGGTGCCAGTCAGGTGGCGTAGGTTGCGATCCACGGCTTCTATACAATACCTATGGCACACTACGATCTCATCCTATATGATCAAGTCGACGTCCTTCATATCATGACCTAGCGTGGATTTGAGCGACATGTTACACGTACTATCTGACAGAATAGGTATGGGAATCTTAAAGACCGAATGCGCCGTTCTGCTGCCATCGCGTAAGACCGCAGCTACTGCCAGCGTGTCAACTGGTAAAACAGTTTTGGCACGAATAGTGAGCACGTTCTGTATAGCATTGGTAAGGAAAGTCTTTCCGGTGCCACCTGGAGCATCAAGCAAGAAAACGCGAGAGTTGGGTGAAGCACAACTACTTGCGATTGGGGCAAGTGGTGGAGTAGGTAGCCCTTGCAAGCTTTGGACGGACACGACTGGAAGAATGGAACCAACGATTGGAGTAGATGCATTTTTCTGCCCTTCATTGAAGAGGGGAAGAGCTTTCTGAAGTCGTTGCTCCCGAACTTCCGTGTTCACATGACCCGAGTTCGTAGACAGCTCTTCGTGCAACGGGGGAAGGTCTTCCATAGGCTCAGGCAGGTTGAAGTCCGTGAGAGTGTAACGACTAATGGACTGCAGCGCTTCCATCACCTCTAGTAAAACGTACGACAAAGCATGTTCATCTCTGGAGAGTTGTTGTCGGCGGGAGCTGTTCCCAGGCCCCCGTGCGCGTGCACGTATGTCTGTCAAGAATAACGACACATGCTCGTTCCAGAGCGCACGTGGATTAGAAGGCTCGCAGTATTCCAGGATAGTAGCAATCACGTGAGATAGGGGCACAAACGACGAACGGAATGACTCACGTATGGCGTGCTTCCACTCCGCGTCGTCTGGTAGCAGTCCCATCTTACAGCAGGCCTCTCAGAAACTGGCACACTCTACACTATCGACGGTGCGCAGATTCCGGAAAGAAATAGTCCCTGGTACTTGCGTGAGAAGCAAACGGAGAAAGTACCTCTCGCCCTCTCGTGGACTGACTGTGTAGATGCGACCAATGACAATCGACCCAGGTCCACTAAAGTTGAAGAGTTCGTTCTCTTCTTGAGGTTTTGTCCTCCTGATATTTGTGCATGGCTTCCAAGTCTTTGTGGATCTGTTCCAAATGAAGTATCTAGGAAAGTCGTCATATTTAATATGTCGTGCTCCCGGATAATTTTCATTGGCCTTGAACCACTCCGCCGGCTTTTTCCCCAGTCTGTTACGGGCTGAGGTCTCCCGCTCTCGTCCCTCTTCAAAAACTACTGTGTGGTGGTTCTCGAGGTGAACATCGAGTCTCATTACATTCGGGTTGCGATCAACAATGTCAAACCGCAATATTCTCCAAACAGCCTCGGATGCAGACATATATCTCGCATCCTGAAAATTACTGATCTCATCGTACCGTTCGTACTCAGCAATAATCTCTATTGTTACTCTGTCCAATCCCTTGCACAAATACTTGAAGAGATACTTGATTCCACCAACGCGAGACACGCACAATTCGACAATGATACGGCAAGAAAACAGTCGGAGCAGCTTCGGGCTGTGTGGGACAACCCAGGAGTTGTCAAGAGTAACCGTTCGATGAGCTCTACCAATCCTATATGCCTCTGTACAGACACGCCACCTTCAGTGGGTTTCCTCCTCTGTACGTGATGTAGTATTCATTCTCAGATTGACCAGTCTCACTGCTAAAGTCCTTCGGGAAGCGCTTTCTGCCGAACAGTTCATTCATGCACGTAGCTTGTCTGTTTTGAGAACCGCAAGGGGTATTAACCATGTGTTTCAAGACCAATTCGTGCAGTTCCGACTCAGAAGAAGGCGGGATCTCGGCAGAGATAATGCTGTTGACATTGGCTGGTGTCCGAAGATCATGTTTTGATCTCTCATCCAGAAAGAATATGACGTGGCACGCAGCAGACCTCGCTACTGAAACTCTATCTTACGGACATGTGCGACAACTGTTCCAAAGAGCTTTCTTTCAATGACATACGACATCAAAGCATCAAGCTTGAGTCGGAACATGCGACCACAAAGATCGGGCCTATCTTGAGTCATCTGGTCTCCAAGGAGAGCTCGACCTATGTCAGGCCAGTTAGGATTGCAGATGACCGTCAGGAAGATATCAGGTTGCCCAACCTTATTCGATATAGCAATGTTGTCATGCATCTGCTGTCTCATGTATCTACCGCCCCCAATGTGAGTAGAAGGCAGTATGAACTATCGGTCAGCACACACAGCATCAGCCACATCTTCACCACGCCCGGAATCACCAATAGACTCTGGCAGAGAGGTGTAATCGGATGCGCGTAGCGCTTGTTGATTGTACCGCAGATACGATAGCCTCTCAGCCTCAATTTTGCAGTACTGGTCGACCAAGTACTGGTGAAAGAGTCTGCGTGCGTGGAAAATCGTGCTAAACTTCCACGCCCTCTGGAAGAGTCTCCATGTGTAGAACATCGAAGGTGTTACTTTGCGCCCACGGGGAGCAGTACTGCATGTTGCAGAAGCAGCACTGGGCGGAAGTCTCAGCTCCGGATGCCACCCATCCTGCCCATAAGGAAACAGTATCATACTCTTCTGATCCATCCGGTTTGGGGATGATCCCCAAACCGGATGGATCACTCCGTTTCTGCGTCGACTACAGACGTTTGAACGCGATGACAGTACGGGACACTTACCAGATTCCTCGGATGGACGAGTGCCTGGACTTGCTCGGCGAGGCGAACGTGTTCACAACTCTAGATTGTAACTCGTGTTATTGGCAAAATCCTCTTTGCCGAAGAAGACCGCCCAAAAACCACGTTCACGTGTCATGCCGGTACTTATCAATTTAACCGAATGCCGTTAGAGCTAATGAACGCGCCCTCCACATTACAACGGATGTTGGACATCTCCTCTCCGGATACAGATGGAAGAGCTGCCTCATCTATCTAGATGACATTGTCATATTCTCGAAGGATTATGAAACTCATCTCAAGGATGTCAAGGTTATTCTCTCTGCTCTATAACAAGAGGGGTTATCACTGAAATTGAACAAGTGTAAATTCTTTCGGGACTCCGTGGAGTACCTGGGTCACATCATTCGACCCGGGGAACTTCATGTCCACCCGAAGAACGTCTCGGCTTTGGCCGAGGCCAAGCCGCCACGAACCCAGACCGAGCTTCGCTCGTTTCTGGGTATGTGTACCGTGTACCGACGTTTTGTGCACCACTTCGCCAAGATTGCGGCGCCATTAACGTCCATGCTCAAGAAGGGGGAGCCCGATCGCCTCCCCGAACTGGACGAAGACAGCAGGTCCTCCTTCGAAGCTCTGAAGACTTGCCTGATTTCCCCGCCGATCTTGCAACTACCGCGACTGGGAATACCGTATTCCCTCGACACGGATGCATCCGACGCCCAACTCGGTTGCACGTTATTGCAGCAACACGAGGATGGTAACAGATACCCTGTCGGGTTCTGGTCGCGAACGCTCTCGTCGGCGGAAAGGAATTACTCCACGACGGAGAAAGAATGTTTGGCCATTGTATGGGCAATTCAGACGCTGCGTCCATACTTGGAACGAGAGCGATTCACGGTTAATACCGACCATCATTCCCTCCGTTGGTTAATGAATCTCGCCGACGCAAGCGGGCGTCTAGCACGGTGGCGCTTGCGCCTAGCCGAGTTTGACTTCGACATCACGTACGTGAAGGGCATCAAGAATTGTCTCGCCGACGCCCTCAGTCGAATACCGTCTAGAGGGGGCACAACCGTCCCCATCGACGAAGAAATACCGTGTTTCTCCGTTATGGAGTTTCACGAAGACAAGCTGGAAGTGGAATCCGAGGAGTGGGACGACGACATTCACGACGGATGCTTCGCCCTCGCCCCTCCGGCTTCCAAGGCCGCAATTACACACGACGAGATGGTACTCGCTCAACGCTCCGAGCCATTCTGTAAGGAGATCGCTTCCCATCTTAAGAAGGGGGAGGGTGTGGCCCAAACTCGCCTTTCCAAGTTCTTCATGAACAAGGAACGGGTACTTTGTCGGAAAGCGCACCTTGACGGTGTTGAGCAAATCTTCGTACCAACCACTCTGCGCGAGCGAGTGTTGTATATGGCGCATTACCCCGCCGCCTCGGGACATCCCGGAGGCAGGCGGCTGTTCTACACATTTAGACAACGGTATTGCTGGCCGAGTATGTCCGTCGACGCATACGCCACAGTCAGAAGGTGCTCCGACTGTGCGAAAGCTCGCATTAAACTGCGTAAGCACAACGCGAAGTTGAAATCGTTCCCTCCGATTGGACCCTTGGAGTGTATCGCCATTGACATCCTAGGCGAAATCCCCAGAACGCCAAGAGGCAATCGATACCTCTTGGTCATATCTGATTGTTACTCAAAGCTGACCCGAACGGTGCCGCTTAAGAGAATTACCCCGAGACAGTTGCTCAGGCGTTCGTCACACACTGGGTCTTCGTATACGGAGCCCCAGTGAAGCTATTCTCTGACAGTGGGAGTCAATTCACGTCAAAGTTCTTCCTTGCCGTGTGCAAAATCCTCCGCGTCGAAAGCATGTTAACCACAGCTTATCACCCACAAGTTAATGGACAAGTGGAGAGGTTCAACCGCACCCTGGTGTCCTCACTACGGCACTACCTAGCCGACAACCAACGCGATTGGGACCAGTTCACGGACGCGCTAACCTACGGTTACAATTGTATCGTGACTCGCATGATCGGCATGAAGCCGTTTGATCTTGTGTTATCCCGACGCCGTCGCCGCTTTCCATCCAACAAACCTCTACACTGGAACAGGATGTCTCGCGGACGCAGTACAAGCTCCGTTTCTTAACGTGGTTACGCCGGCTCATGTCAACAGCCCGCGACACGCTACTCGCGGGTCAGGACCGATATAAATGCGACTTCGATAGGAGATTACGGACGCCGACACCACAATATTCGGTTCGTGATCAAGTCCTCATCGAGGGAGAGACATCCCTGCGAGTGGATGAGAAGACGGATAAGGACCGGGTCAATAACAAGTTAGCCCCACGGACGGAAGGCCCGTTCCCGGTGGTGGCGCTCGACGAGCATACCGTGACCATTGTCCGGACAACAGGCCTGAAATATACAGTCTCGAGAGACCGCATTGTGAAGGCTCCCCCTCTACGGACCATACCCGCCGACGCCGAACCCTCGTCACCTACGCCGGCCAACGGCGACGCTTCTACCTTCCTCCCTGCCGGGGCACCTCCCCGCCCGATGAGAGACGACCTCGACACAGGTAACCCGGATATATCTCCGCCAAAGTCAACAGAACCTGAGGACCAAGACACTACCCGCGATAAGAGCAAGATCGAAAACGCGACGCATGGCGCGAAAGCAACAAGACCTTCAAGGTCGAAAGCAATTATCCAGCCCAAAGGGAGCCCTTCTGCATCGGGATTACTGCACGCTCTCCGAGACGGCACGCACGCACGGGTCATTTCCGAACTGAGTAGGAGAACCGCCACTGTAGGCGAAGGATCCGTATCCAAGGAGGGACTCCCTCCCCTGAACCCGTCACGGACTATACGTAGGCGGGCGGAACGGGCATCTCCGAGGGAGTATGATCGGCGTCCCGGGGGAACCCTCCGCGTCGTACCAGGCGTCCGTCTCAGGTGACCCCCGGCATGTCCCTGCTGACACTCACGAGACAACGCATGGCCGCTCCGCCCGGTACGAGGCGCCCGCCTATAGCGATCGATATGCAAAGGGGACCCGTTTTACGTCTATCGCCAAATCCCTTCTCGGTTGCTACACGCGTGCTAGTCGTAACCTCGGGGTGCTCCTTTAAGAGGACGCACACCCGCTCTTCCTCCGACTATTCGTAGTCGGCAAGGTCATCCTCTACCCCCGCCACCAGCGCCGCCGGGGCATTCGAAGGAACCGATCCCGAGTCGGAATCGACCGGGTCTCCTTCGGTCTCCGTCGCTACGGGAGGCGGCGTCACGGGCGGCACAACCCCCACACTCGGCACCTCCCCCAACATCGGGGTATCCGTCCGAGACGCGTAAGAGCCCGCATCTGCCCCCGCTTTAAAGCGCTTCACCCCCGCCACAAATTCGGCGTAATGTACTAATTTCGTTAACTCGTCCTCCGAGACGCCCAACTCGACAAACAGCCTACGCCGTGCCGTTGATCCCTCTCCGGGCGACGGCGGTCCGTCGCCAGGCACTTCAACCGGACCTCCCCCGCGCAACGGTACTTCAGCCGGTGCCGACGCAACCTGAGTCCCTCCCGAGCCAAGACCGCCTTCAAGGGTAGGGGGCTCATCGGTAGCCGTTGTCACCGGCTCTGCCTGGCTGCGTATCAGTTCGGGCTGTAGACTTTTAAAAGTCACCGGATCAAACCGGATCCAATTTCCGGACCCCGGCCCTCCGACGTCCTCGCGCCTCCCCGGCGATGCGTTCGCCCGATCAGTACGGTCGTAATGATGACCTTGACCGTAAGGTACGCGCGGGTAGTCCACCTTGTCGTGGATTTCTAACAGCGCATGTAGCTGATCGGACCACTCCGGGTAGTTTCCGTCCGCCAAGTAGTACAGCATCTGTAGTATAATCACCCCCAACGACGAGGGGGGTGAGTACTGACAGTTCGGAAAGACCCCGATCGGCGGGAAGACAGAAGCTCGGCCCACCCACGGTACCGAGCACGGGCTCGAGGTAGCGGTGGTAGAGCGGGATCGGGGAGGACGCGCGCACGCGCGAGCGGTTCTACGCCTCGACGCCCCGGAGCGGTACTGGGTGACGATCCAGTACCGACGGGCGGAGGCGGAGCCGGCTCGTGGGCGTGCTACGCGCGTCCTCAACCCGCGCGCGGTGCTACTTCTAGGTAAAACGGACGGAAGTACCTAAAAGTAAGCGGGCGGACCAAGGTGGAGGATCCTTGACAAGTCCGTGCTTGTCGTCCTCCACCGCCGGCGGTCCGCTCATATTTAATGTACATCGTAATCTATCATAACTCTACAGTAGTGCCGGTCTACCGACACTGTAGCGCTGTCAGCCGGCGGGGCTGACAGTCCACGTGTAGTACACGTCCCGTACACGTGGAGGACACGTGTGTGCGCGCATGGCTGTAAGGCTCGTTGCCTTACTGTCCCTGATCCAATCCTAATCTAATTTGCGTTTGGGGTTATACCACATCACCCCCCCCTCAAGAGTGAACGTCCGCGTTCACTCCTGAGGCTTGCAGAACCTGTCCGTCCCACTCCCTGAACCCCGAGCAGATCCGACCTGGTATACGAATTTCCCCCCCCCTTTGCGCACTGTCCCACTTCGTCCTTGACAGCGCCATTTGGTCGTCCCCTCTCGCGTCACCGCCCGTGTCAGCATGGCCGACCCGCGGTCTATTCCTCTCCGGCAGTCACCCCCGGGCGTCGTGAAGCCAACTATGGCGGAGGCGGTGGCCGTCGGGACCCCGCCTTCGAGCGGGCTCGGACTCCCAAGTGCGTCATCCGGACCGCGTGGGGGTGGCGTCGTCCTGGCCCAAGCGGGTCCGCTCCCTCCGCCGGGTTTCCAGAAGTCCCGCTCGCGGTCCACGACCGTGTCCTTGGAACTGGTGGCCCCCGGTGAGGGGCCATCCAGGCCGGTCCTTTCGTTTCGCCCGGCTACCCCTTCCGTCTACCGTCAATGGGGAGGGCACGCCGCATGTCTTCATGCCTAGCCTCGCCGAACTGGACACCGAGACACCTCGGCATCCGGGGTATTGTCCCCCGGATAAACATGCTTCGGGGTCTCGCGGGCCCTCGAACAATGCCAGTCGCTGACCGCGCGGTCTGGTCGTCAACCGCGCGGTGCCCTTCTTCCCTTACGTCGTCGAGGACGACACAGTAAACATTGCTTCCATCGTGACGCGTTTCTTCGAGTCTGTTCGTTGCTTCTAATTCCCCTTTGTCATCGGCGTGACACAGCACGCCCGCCTGTGCTTTCCTCAAAGCGGAGGAGGAAGGGGCGATGGCAGATCGCGTTCCCCTCGTCCCTCTTCGCCATCCGGTAGCGAGGGCAGGGGCGCGCGCGAACTCATATTCTCCTTGAGGCCTCTCGCCATCGGTAGCGAGGGCCTAGCGCACAACGAACGCTCTTATCTATCACGTCCCTCGCCATTCGGGCTGAGGGCGCGCGGCGCAGCGAACGTCTGTCTTCACGTCCCGCCCCTTCGTCGTCCGGGGCGGAGCACGGCGCGTTGTCTTCGTCTCGCGCGTCCCTCGCCGTTCGGGGCGAGGGCACGCGCGACGGTCGTCCTTCTTGAGGCCTCTCGCCGTCGGTGGCGAGGGCAGGGGCGCGCGAGGGCCCGTATGCTCCTTGAGGCCTCTCGCCGTCGGCGGCGAGGGCAGGGGCGCCCGACGACGCACGGCGACGTTCCTTATGTTTGGCGGCCCTCGCCGCCGATGGCGAGGGCACGGCTCGCGACCTTCGCGCTGCGGTGCGGCGGTCCTCGCCATCGGGGCGAGGGCGTGAATGCGTGGACGTACTTATTCTTCTTTGCGCGTCGTCCGCCATCGGTGGCGGGGGCGCTGCGCGTGCGCCGTACGTTTTCTTCATCGCGCGACGTCCGCCATCGGTGGCAGGGCGCTGCGCGTGCGCCGTTCGTCTTTTTCGTCGCTCGCGCCTCTCGCCATCGGGGCGAGGGGGCGGACGCGTCGACGTACGTCTTCTTCTTTGCTCGCGTCTCTCGCCGTCTGTGGTGGGAGCGCGAGCCCTCGGCAAATTTCTTTACCCAGCGCCCTTCGTTATCGGTTGCGAGGGCGCGTGCGGCGGTCCTCTTCCTTGGCGTCCCTCTCCGTCTGAGGCGAGGGCGCAGCGCGCGGGTACAGCACGAGGAATTCGTCTTCTCGCGCGGCGCCTCTCCTTATCTTTCGCGCCCCTCGCCTTCCGGGCGGCGGGTGCGCGAGCGCGTGGCATTCGCCTCCTTCAGCGCGCCCCCCTCGCCATCGGGGCGAGGGCACAAGCGCGCGGACTTCGTCTCCTTCAGCGCGCCCCCTCGCCATCGGGGCGAGGGCACAAGCGCGCGGCGTCGACGAACGTGCGCGGGGAGGGGGGATATGAGATCGACGACGAGCCCGAGGCCGTGTCGGACAGCCTGTTGGACATGTATTTGCGATCAGCCCGGGGACGCTCACGTCGCGGGGACCTCGTGCTTATGCCGGCCTTGTCGGCGCCGGGGGTTGTAGGCGGTGAGGGTGTACGAAGTGCAAAGTCGGTGTGTCGCGCGACATCCCTTCTTCCCCCTGACGACGGCTTCCTCTCCTTGTCTTTCGGTCGGACAAGGCGGACTCGAATCTCCGATATCCCAGCGACGGCCCTGCCAGTCGCCTCACGAGCGGCAGCACACGTATCCCGTACCCGAAAAGGACGCCTTCCTCGATCCGTTGTAGTGAGCAACGCGACGTCGCGTTCGCATTCAGCCAGAGGAGATGATTTGTATCTTTCCCGTCATTGCGGGTCGAGCGTACGAC